CTTTGTTCATCAAGATTTCGACCTGGACCTCCAGGTGAAGAGGCTCAAGCAGCTAGTCAGTTTATTGCTGATGTGATTGAAAAGTAAGAAACTTCATACTTCAGTATCAGACTCTTTTAGAGTGGGGCAGCTATAACAAATTATTATTATTATTATTATTATTATTATTATTATTATTATTACTACTACTACTACTACTACTACTACTATATAAAAGGCAGCTTTACTTGGAGCAGCTTACATCCTGCAATGATACCTCTAACACCATCAAACAACAACATCTGCCTATCCCAGGTCTTTGGGAAGGACTTAATAAGTGGATAAAAATGCCAAATCCAGTCTAAACATCTGGCTGACTGTCTGACCAGCAGCAGCAGCAACAATAATAATGTGAAGAATAATTTGGGATAAATGGAATGTCCTCCTCATCATACCATTATTTCAGTTCACAGGTAGTAATGAAGGAAGACCTATGCATTATAGATGGAAAGGTGAGTAAGAATTTATATTAAGAATTAATTGTGAGATGTTGGGATGCTCCTAAACTAACAAATTCAGTTCCAACAAACAAGGTAGATATGAAATGTGATTTTATTTTATCATGCATGCTATGAAGTACCCTTTGCTTCTAAACAAGGTTGAAACTGGACTATAGTAACATTTTGCTCAATAAAAGTAGGTATTGTTCAGTGCAAGCATAGAAGTCACCTTTCTGGAAGAAAAGTAGCAGCTGAGAATAGTTCTGCCTTGATCTTTCTAATCAAGTACTGAGGCAGGACGTGTTACCTCCATGCAAAGCATCTAATAGAAGTAGAGTATGCCCACTTCACATCCCTAATAACTACAGGCCTGAACCTATAAAAAGTGTTGTCTTCACAACTGATAACATTTAATGGTTCCTCTTGCATTGAATTCTAATTTAAAGCCATTGTGTTAATGGCCATTATCATTTCTTGTGGTAATGAATTCCACATAGCTGTGCAACAAGTATGAAGGTGCTTTTTTTCCAATCAACTTTAGTCATGCAGTCCTGATCCTAGTGCATTGAGAGTGGGAGAAAAGTAGCTTACCCCTCCCCCCTCCATATAATTTTATACGTAGGGAAGATGTTTAAGCCCACTAATCATTTTAATTCCCCTTTTCAAATCTTTTTCCAGCTGTATTGCAACCTTTTTCAAATGAGGCAAACAGAACCATACACAGTACTACAGGTGTAAATAAGGGCATTACAGGGGTGATTTGGCATTATGTAGCTTAAGATATCCTAGAATAACTTCTTATTTCACTGCTGCTGTTCTGTTCAGCTCTCTGAGAAAGTCAGTATCTCTTCTGCAGTGAAGGCAACAATTTGTTTTACTTTTGAGCATCTCTCTCAGTCCATTGTCATCTAATGGCCCAACCACTTCCTTAGCTGATTTCCTGTTTCAAATATATTTTTAACAGTTCTTATTGTTCCCTTAATGTCTTTTGCCATTAATTCATTCTTTTTTTTTCTTGCATTCCTTATTACCACCTTTTTCTTTTTTTGCCAGAGTTTGTGCTCCTTTTTGTTTTGGTTAGGGCAGACTTTCCTTTTGCCAAGGGCAGTTGCCTTATCTTTTACATCTAGACATTATTAGAAAACCATGCTGGCTTCTTCCTGGATTTGGCTGACCCTTGGAATATATTCTACCTGAATATCAATTGTGGCTTTAAATAATCCTAGGCACCCTGAGGAGACTTCGTCCTCTTGATTTGTCTTTTCAGTCTCCTTTTCACTAGTCCCTCATTTTTTAGAAGTTTCTCCTTTTTTTTAGTCAAATGTGCCTGTGTTGGACCTTACTTGCAGTTTCCTTTTTTGCATGTATGCTAAATGGGCAATGTAGCATTATGGGCACTGTTTCTATTGGTTCCACAGCAGTTACACACCAGATAATGGTAATCACTTAGAATTAAGTCTGGATTGAATGCAATGATTGAATGCAGAATTGATCTCTTAGGTAACGCTTGTATAAAAAAATGTAATATAGATTTTATTTTTCTGTTAGTGATTATATATATAACCAGTTTTATATATATAACATGGGTGTTCTGTTTGCTACCTTAGATTTCAGTAGTGCTTGCAGGCCTCAGCCAAGGTGACTTTGTAGTACTGAGCTGCTGTAGCTGTAGTTATGCTTCAGTATGCACATTTATAAACTGGTCATTATTAATTTGACCCTGTTTTTCCCTTTCTGTTATTCTGCTAGAATCATGTGTCTTATCTCGAGTAGTTATAACATTTCAAACAACATGATGTGAAATAACAAACATGCTGACTTAGACAAATATTTCAAAGATGATATTTATGCATATTGAAGCTTTTTCAGTATTTACAACAGCAGGTCTTATTTCTTTAGATTGTATGGGTTCTATATTGTGACATTATATGCTTAGACTATGATGGAAACCTTCTCGATGCCTGCATGTGTGCTTTCTTAGCAGCTCTGAAAAACGGTAAGTTGTGTTGTTATACTTTGAGATTTACTTTAAAATTTAAACTCACTGCAGATTTAGCACTAAATTGGATTGAAGCTAGACAGCAATTGTAACAGCAACCAGGGTTTGACAAAAGAACAAGCTTGCCCACAGAGGTTAGATGAAGTATGAACCAGGTCTGGCATTAGAAGACAGCCATCTTGATAGCTATTAAGGGCCCACCACTGCTAAACTCATTGATATTTCCCCCCACCAGTTTTTTTTTTAACAATTTGACCAAATAGCCAAATACCTTTTTCTAAATTTTATTGTTAGAAAGGACAGAATTCACAATAAGGGTTCCTTGTTTCAAATGTTCTTAAATCAAAAGCATAATCTTACTTCTCACATTCTCATCACTCTGTTGTGTTTATTTGAAGATGCCTCTATTCTTCTTTATGAAAAATGAGCTTTATGAAATAATTTTCCAAAAATCTGCAGTCTTGCTTTTTACTTTGTTATTTTTTTTCTTTATTATTTCAGTGTTGTTGCCTGTTGTTACAATAAATGCAGAAACTGGTTTGGCGGAAGTTAATTTGAAAGAGAAGAATCCTTTGACTATTAAAAAGCAACCAGTGGCAACATCATTTGTGCTGTTTGAGTAAGTGAGGGCCCAAAAGTCTATATGTAGATTATGATAGGCAATACCATGTTATCAGGTAGTTCCAGATTTATGAGCAGCTATATGGCAAAAGCATACTTGCCTGCCCCTTCTTTGGGAGCCCTCCAGTATCCCAAAAGAACATGATGTGAGCAGAGGGAGAGGGACTCACTTAAAAATCCATGAAAAGTGTTTCTGCTGTACAGGTAGGTAGTCTTTGTTTAGCAACCACAATTGGGACCAGAAACTCGGTTGCTAACTGATTTGATTGCTAAGTGGAAAATCATGTGACTCATGTGAACACATGTGAATTATGTGTTTAAGCTTTCCTTTTTTCCCACTCCCCCGCCCTTAGGAATGCTCACCCTGGCGCTGGGATAATTAGCAAGAAGGGAATTAATATTGGTATTTGCATTCATTGGTGAGGAAGGGATTACAAGAGAGTAAGCAGGCACAAAATGGGGAATACACATAGCTAACGCTGGCTGCCTAGTGCTCTCACAACTCTGAGCTTAGGAGGCAAACAAAAGCTGAAGGTGTGAAAATGATTAAACTCTTGTCAGTTACAGGCAGCAGCTGTAAGCCTGCTAATTAAGGTCACAGAGCAGAGCTTGTTAACATGAGGTTAGCATTTTTTAGGGATGCGCTGTGGAGAAAAGAAGCTCAGGCAGAGATTGCTTGTTTAAGTAATCTCTCTGTGAGGGGATAAGAAAAGAAAAAAATGAGTCAGGCATAGGACAACACATACTGACTATAACGGTGAACACATGACAGAGAGAGAGATGCTGTGAAGGTCATAAATGTGGGCATTGGTCATAAAGTTACTTTTTCATCACTGTTGTAACTTTGAACAGTTGCTGCTCGAGACAGTCATTTAAGCAAGGTCTAACTGTAATCTGGAAATCCATCAAATAATACACACACACTGTAGAAACTATTCAACTAGGAAGGTTTTCTGAATCTCAATATAGCATTTATAGAATGCTTGAAATGGGAAGGAGGAAGTGGAAAACCTGTTTGCGTATACTTAAAATGGGATCTCTCACTGAATGGAGATAAGAAATTTATATACATGTAAAGTGGGTCCATAGAGAATACTGAATATGGATAAAATAGTTGCTCTGATAAGCCTCCAGCTATTTTTTGAGGGGATCAGCTTAGTTATTCTCAGAGTCAGGCATAGATTGAAGAAATCCTCATTGCCTGAAGTTAATAATATATCTCTCAGATTAATCTCTTTATAGGTCTTTGAATTTAATTGAAAATGGCTTCAGCATTGAGGCTTATGCTAGCGATTACAATTCTGGTGTTCCAGAAAGCATGTAAATGAACAAAGGAGCAGTTTTGATGCTGCTGTTTTCATGAACTGTATTGTGTAATTGAACAGTAAATGTATATAATTCTTATGGATTAGGTAAACCCAGAATAGTTAAATTTTGGCACACGTGTGTATTTATCTTCAACAGCACATTAGTGGTAGTTGACCCAACTGCAGAAGAAGAAGACTTGGCATCTGGGACTTTAACTATTGTGACTGATGAAGAAGACAAATTGTGTTCTGTTCATAAGCCAGGTATTAACACTAAATTATTAAGAATTAATATTTTCTAAATTCTCTAATTTAGTATTAGGTTTTGTGGGTACCATTCAGGAGTATAATAGATACTGCATTTTGGATCCCTGCACTACAGCAATTGTATTATGGGACATGTTTCAATCATGAGAGTCTTGTTGAACTTAACTCCAATAAAAACATTAGGTTAATAGAAATATGAATGTTGTTTAATGGCCAATTCAAAGGATAGGACAGCGATAAATTCATTGTGTCCTTGTTTCTGTTTCTTTTTAAGGAGGAAGCACAGTAACAGAAGCAAAACTTCAAGACTGTATCAGTCGGGCAAAAACACGACATAAAGAAGTAAAGAAACTAATGGATAAAATAATCAAAAGTGTATGATTAGTAAAAGGTGTATTTGCTATTTGCCCACAAAATCATTACATCAATAAACATGCTACATTTATGAAGTTCCATTATTTCACGATATAATTTCATCTTGAAATTTGTACAATATTTCCAGATGAATAATTTCATCTTAAAACAGTATGATTTTCTTACAAATACCAGTTGTTTGCTATGCCTTGGCATAGCTACAAATTCAGTTTCATGAAAACATTTTTTTCAAAAAAATCCTTATAGAATACATACATCTCTCTCAAATGCAAGTTTCAGGATTCAGATACCAGTGAAGCTGTTTTTTTTTCTTTTTACTTTTTGACTGGGTGCCTAGATGACGATGATGTAGTAGAGCTGCTTGTGCTGCTAACGCCATAACCATTTGATGGGGCAAGAACTGTAATGGTTGCCAAGAAAGAAAGAAAAAAGCATATTTTATTTTTTAAGTTTCATTTTTATCTCCAGAAGAATGAAATAAACAATGAAATAAAAATGCAAGGGGCCAATAATTACCTTCCTGCAGTATATGAGGCATTAGAAACTATAATATAGAGAATGCCTAGCTTTCTATGTGTAATACTGATGATGACTTTGTTACTTATTAAATAGTTCATTTAGTTATTAAATTAGTATGGATATTAAAGTACAGTAAGCACTCTACATACCACCACCCATGGGGTGATGTGGAATTCAACCAGACTGTTATATCTTTGTTACAGTAATTCTGTTGTTTAAACATATGGCTCATCGGAAAAAAGGAAGGCATTAATGAATGGGATCAATAAAAACAGTCCAGCACCATTAGAGGCACAGAAACACGCTGAACACCTTTCTGTAAATGTTTGGGCATAATAAGAATGCTGTAATTCAAAATTTAATTTTAAAACATTCTAATACAGAGAGCCAGTTTGGTGTAGCATTTAAGGCAACAGGCTAGAAACTGGGAGACCATGAGTTTTAGTCTTGCCTTAGGCAGGAAGCCAGCTGGGTAACCCTGGGCCAGTCACTCTCAGCCCTAGGAAGGAGGCAATGGCAAACTGCTTCTGAAAAACCTTGCCAAGAAAACTGCAGGGAATAGTCCAGGCAGTTGCCAGGAGTCCATACTGACTTAAAAGCACCAAAAAAAAAAAAAAAAATAGAGCACACATAGGTTATATATTTTAAAATACTGCATAGAGAAGCCTTAATCATATGTTTGATTTACATCCCACTTTAACAAAATTGGGTACCCTATAAAACCCTAATTTATTTCTTTTCCAATAAATCTCCAACAGAATCCATTTTTAAACAGACCTATTATTCAAAAATAAGGGCCTTTTATGCGTACTGATCTCTGACATCAGGGATAATACATATTGCTTAATTAGGCAATACAGCATTTCCCCCTAAAATAATGGTTTTTCATCATTACTTTCTATAAAGTTGTACTCAGCACTCAGAAGGAAACCAGAAGACAGGCTTGCCTAACTGAAGGCCCATCTCCTAAATCACTGATTCTGCAAGGAAATCAGCATGTGTTCTAAAATTCAGGATTGGATTCAAGACAGACTTTTATTTGAAATTCTGGGTCTGTGATTCTTCCCTTCCCTTCCCATTTTCCTCTTTCCCATCTAAACTAAACTATAGAGAATAGGCCATATTGCTTTAAAAAGAATTTTTGTTAAAACCTTGCATGCAACACTGCCTAGTTGAACAGCTAGCTTTTGCTTTTTCTGGATTTGTACAAGGTTTGTTAATTTCTGTATTTCTAAATTTGGGACAAGAAGTTCCAAATCACTTTCCTTTCTATTTTTCATATTGCTGGACTGAAGGAAAAGGTTAGCTGTTAGACTAGGGTTCAAGGTTCAACTTGACTGGCGGCATCTTTTTTTTCTTTTTTCTTTAATTGTGGAGCTTTCAAAGGGCTCAGCCAGAAGAGTAAAGTCATCCTCCCTTCCAACTCTTAAACAAAAGAACTGTGGGTTAATCTTGGAAGGGCTGCAGAATATATAGCTCTGTATGGTGAAAGATAATTTCATAAATAGTTCTGAATGCAAACCTTGAGAGTTGCCAACTTACTGTCACTTGGTGCTTGCTTTCTGCTGAATAAGTAAGTATTGCAGAGACTGCAGAAGCCAGTTTCCAAACGAAGCAAGCACAAAGAGCTAACAGGAGTTTGGCAACAGTGTTCAAGGAGAATGTCCCTAACAAATTCTCCATTTACTATAACTGGAAATATCTGCTAATTCAGAATGCAGCAGCACACTTGCTGACGGGTGAGAAAATCCAATGTTGTGGTCACTGCATTGGCTACTTGTTTGTTTTCAGATCCATTTCAAAACTCTGTTTATGACCTATAAAGCCTTTACAGTAATTGCTCAGGTCCAGGACCATCTGCTCCAAGCAGAATCTGTATATCCTGTGCGTGCACATCAGGAAGGAATGGTCCATATCTCTACCCCTTGAGAGCAAGAAAACAGGCTCCTTCTGTAGCTACCAAAGTCTTGTGGAACAGCTTGCCATCCAATGTTTAGATGATACACTCTTAGCTTTAAGGAAAACAATGAAACTTGTTTTTCCACTGTGCTTTGGGGGTTTAATGTTTTCACTGGTTTCTTGTAATTGTAGTTATCTTAATATTAATAGTATGGCTACTTTTTAAAGTGAAATTTAATCTTTTTTATGCTTGTTTTAAATTACTGTAGATAACCATAGTCTTTGGCATGACATTCCAATTAGCCAGTTCATTAAAGTATGAGCTCTGTGGTATGTTTATTAGGTGGATTCATATCTGGTTTGAAAATCACAGAATGCTTCTAACAGTTCCTCACAACACTGGAGCAAGCTATCAACTGTAGTGCCAGTTCAGTCCTGGACCCAGTGTTCCTCATTTTCACTAATGACTTGGATGAAGAGGTGATCAACTAAGGCTTTAGAGGAGAGCCTGAGACTGATATGTTTAGCCTTCAGAAAAGAGGGGGGGGGGATTAGAGATACATATTGAAAACATACAAATCTATATGGACTACCAGAATGTTGAAAAATCCTGCATATTTTCTATTTTCTGCATGCTATGTCGGAACAAATATTTAGAAATCAATTTTAAAGATTTCTCAGGCATTGACTTAAAGTTATTGTTCTAATATTGGATTACTGTAATGTGTCATACCAATGAAAAATACATGGAAAAAACTAGTGCAAAATGCAACAGTTTGCACACCAATAGATATAAGCCAATTCAGCAACATAACACTTACTATGAGAGTGCTGCACCAACTTCCAGTAGGTTTCTGAGTACAACTCAAGATGCTAGTTTTAACCTGCACTACCTCAAGAATATGGTTCCCTTCTAAGATCTGGCTGGCCTCCAATTTAGTCACCTTAAAAAAAACAGTGAAAACATGGCTTTTCTGATAGGCCTAACATCTATATTCTTCCTATCTGATCAGAATATTTAAATTTTTTTTTTTTAGTTGATGCTTATGGTTTTTATGACTTGATTTGTAAACAGCCTAGAGTTATGTAACTGACAGTATGGAAATACTGAAAATAAAACATTCAAAAAATAGTAAAAATGTCCTTACAAAATTAAAAGTTTCAATTTTTATATCTTTATATCTTTCTTGAGTTTATACCATTCATGAAGCATTAATTGTAGCTAATCACAATAATCTGAAAGGGCACATGGCTTTATGTGTTGTTTCATTTATATTTTTGTTTGATCTGGTCAGTTCCCTTCTATGCCTCTAACCAGCCCAGACCGGGAAAAAAAGGCAACTAAATAGGATATTTAGGGGACAAGGACTGGGAATTAGTCAAAAAAAGGCATAAATTTGGTCAACTGGAAGTCTGATTTTACTTTGTTCATGGATAAAACAAATATACTAACTTATTTAATTGGTAACTATTTTAATAAAGAATGCAAATTTAACAACACAATATTTGATATTTTAAAAACAAAATTTAAGATCTGTAAATAATGTTACATAATGTGTATATTTCTATTTTTCTCCACATTTGCTTTTTACATATCTACACATAGCCATTCCAATCTCATCCAAACGTTTGACATGTTCCCATTACTGTCCCTCCCCATATAGGGCAGATGCAACACATAACCTGTTTTGACTTGTATATTTACTGCCAGAGTACTCCTATAGTAGGAAACATGATTTAAAAACAAATTTGCAGAGGAACATTCTATAAGGTGGTTCCTGAAAACACATACCTGCTGTCTGAGGTTGGATAAAGTTCCCTACTCCAGTCAAATTAACAATAGCAGTTTGCTGAGCAGTTAAGGGTTGATCCTGGTTTGGGGGGGCTTCCTCAGAACCCTGGCAAAAAAATTGATATATCAAAATATATTTATGATCTGTATACTTAATACATTTATTTTCCCTTAGAAAGAAGTACTTTTCAAAGCATTTCTTAGTTTGGTACATAACTAATGAGTTGTGATGATCTGCAATACTCAGTCCCCAACAAATGTGACTCCTCTTGAAACTCAGATAAGTTCAAAGAAAGATTAATTTATTGAGTAGTAGTACACAGGTCTGCAAAGTATTGCTGAAACTAAAAAGCCCGCACGCGCCAAACTCTACTTAACCATTTTTCCCTTCACCACCCCCCTTCCATCCCATAGTCCTCCTTGCGCCTTTCGCTGGGTCTCTCCTGGTCAACCTTGGGCATTCCTGATAGACAGATAACAGTCCATCTGCGCTCAACGGTTAGTCCTCTAGCTCCCCCCACCTTTCCTTATAATGGCAGAACCGAAGCAAGCTAATCAGCAAAGTAGTTAATTGATTGTGAGTCTTCTGACTTGAGTACCTCCTGAAAACAAGATTTTGCATATGAGGAGACAGCTTCAGCAATATCTGTCTGTCTGTCTATCTAATTTGTATAGCTGCCCGTCTCACAAAAAATGACTCTGGGTGGCGTACAACAATAATTCCTAGTAATTTTACCACTTTACAGCAAAAACGTTATTGTATTAACTCTGATGGAAGCCACAATTAAGTATATACACCATGAGTTCTTACAGTTATTTCATAAGCATACCTCAAACAGAAGTTGTTTACCTTTAACTGTAGTTCTTCAATTTGTCATCTGTGTATTCACACCTATGAGGCTGCACCAACACAGAACATAGTTCTAGAAGGTACTAAAGCTGAGCCTTATTGAGAAATAACTCCCCTCCCATACATGCCTAGCATTGAACTAAAATGGGTCCAGATAATCCATTTCCTCCAGGGTCCTCTAGAGATGGAGCCCAACCACCCTTTCCACCACCTTCTCCAGAAAAGGGAGACTGGAGGGTGAATGGAAATATCCAGGATGGTTGGGTAGAGTGTTGGTCTCTTAAGAAGAGGGCATACCACAGCCTCCTTCAGGGTTAAGGAGACCACCTCCTCCCTTAGAGAAGCAGACACCACTATGTGGGCCCAACCACAGGTCACCTCCTGGGTGGCCTTAAGCCAACCACAAGGGACCTGGATCAAACAAACAGGTGGCTGAGCTTACACACAAAAGAACCCTGTCCACTTCCTTCGGAGTCACAGAACCAAACTCACTTCAGTTAACTTTGTAAGCCCCTGCCTCAGGGATCTCAACTGAACCTGTCCAATCAGAGTCCAACTCTGAGTGGAATGCAGCAACTTTATCTGCTACATAGTAGGAATATTCCTCACAGCAGCCCCGCAGATGGTCCTGTGAGCCATTCCTCCCTAACAGGGACAGGGTTACTTTAAACAGAGGTGGTAGACAGCTATCGGCGGATGCAATAAGGGCAAAGAAATAGTTATTTCACCATCCTTATCACCACAATGTAATCCCTAATGTGGGTTCTTCCTCAAGTTTGGTCAGATTCACTCTTCATCTTCCTCCAACGGCACACCAGACATTTCTTCTGGTGCTTCATCTCTTGGACTTCCTCATAAAGCCAAGGTGCACAGGAAGAGGCCACTTAGGGGCAATACAGTCTAAAGCCTCTGTCGTTCACCCATTCCAAGCTGTGACCAAGCTCTCAGCTGGACTGCCCACTAAATCTCATGGAAAACCCAAGCTCAGTCTATCCAACCCAACCAGGTCCATCAGGTGCTTGGGGTGGGCCAATCTAACAGGCACTATCCACCTGTGAGGTGGGATGCCATCAGCATGCCAAAAAACAATCAGAGTTATCCAACTGTGGCAACAGACTAGGGATAATATCCTCCAAGACTCAATCATGTCACAACTGCTCCAAGACAAAAACAACATACTCCTGCCTCCTATTTTCCCCAAAGCAACAACCCTGTGAGGTGGGTTGGGCTGAAAGATAGTGACTGGCCCAAAGTCACCCAGGTGGCTTTTATGCCTAAGGGAGGCATAGAACTCATAGTCTCTGGGTTTCTAGGCTAGCACCTTAACCACAACACCAAACTGTCTCTCTTGAATCACAGAGAAGAATTTTTTTTAAAAAAAATTAGAAGTACAAACTAAAAATACAAACTAAAGGGGAAAAAAAGGAAAAATCTTATACAGTGGTGCCTCTAGTAATGAACTTAATCCGTTCTGTGACTCTGGTTGCAACTCGAGTTGGTTGCAAGTCGAGGTAAAGT